ACACTTGGAAACTTTCGATCGATCTCCATAGTTTTAAGGACAAGGTTCAAACACAGCCCTTCACAGTTTGCATTTGTTAATCTTCCACTTCATCATTATCTCTGTTTCAGAGTTTAGGCCCCCAAAACCGGAGAAGAAGGTAGGGGTTGCATCACAGGGAACAAGGGTTAGACGCTCAGTCATTCATGTCTGACGCTTTGCGACCCCATGGACTGTAGCCCACCAGGCTCCTCTGTCCATGGGATTCTCCAGGCAAGACTACTGGAGTGGGTTGCTCTTCCCTTCTTCAGGGAATTTTCCAGACTCAGGGATTGAACTCAGGTCTCCTGTATTGCAGGCAGATTCTTTACCATCTGAGCCACCGGGGAAGTCCCACATCACAGGGAAGGCCATGCCTAACTCAAAATATGCATAAGGGAGCATTTCATCCTAAGAAAGAACACCGGGTGTTTCAGTTTACACGCTATAGTATTTAAAATTCACTTGGCCCACCCAAAAGATGTGATTCTTGCCAAAAGTTTGATGTGAGAAGGAAACATGGGGTTCACATTGTGTCAAATTTTGCCCATATGATGAGGTTTTAATTAATTTTTATTATTATACCCTCTCAGGTTTGCAAAGTCAAAATATCCTACATGCAGTCTTATTTCCTCACTCCACAGACCATATGTTGAAGTCAGCTTCCTTTTATTTATTCACATTGGATATAATTTCTTACTGGATTGTCTTAGCATTTCCTCTGCTTGTTACCTTCCGGTTCTTTATTGCATTTTTCCTGACACTTAATTGGAGGTCCCTTTCTCTGTGTGCCCATCTTGTACTTTTTGTTTGACAACAATAGTTTATTCTAAACTAGGTGATGTTTTTTGAAGGCCTGTGTGGACCACTAGCTTCCCGTTCCCATCCTGGAAAGATGGTGTCGTCTTTACATCTGCATCAGAGACCTTCACAGAGCACTAGGGGCATACTAGGTATTTCACAATAGTTCTTTCAATTGCTGAAAAACCAGGAGAAATTTTTAATCAATTCAAATAGTGCTGAAGCATAAAGTGATATATTACTTTCCAAGAGAACTAGGTGTTTTCCTTCCTGCATGGCACTGGGCAATTTTCAAAAAAGAGATGTATGATCAGAGACAAAAGGAAGACTAATTAAAGCACATCCCATTTCCCTGACTATTCTTTGCCTTTAATCAGGTTAATCTTAATGAAAACTGTTCAATGTCTTTAGCACAGTGACAACAAACAGCTCTATGGGAAGAGGTATCAGCAGTCATTTGTTGGAACCCAACACTAAGTCAGAAATAGCACATGGACGTCAAGTTCCTTCCAGTTCTGATGCATTGGTAGTGGTTGCCTAAACACTCTAAGGATTTTAAGACCACTCCAGGGTTTCAGGGGAAGCGTGCCATGACTGATTAGTGATGTCTGCCTTGGGCATGGATTAGGGGATGATTACCTCCATGCCTAGTATTTCTGATCCTGGGCTGGTCTTGCTTTGCGTTCAGATTCTGGGGTGCTATCTGCTACCAGTGAAAGATCAGAAGGTCTGGTGTGTAGTTCCAATCCTTGAGGAAATACTCCCGGGGAACACATCTCCCTGCCTGCTCTCTTGTTATCTCTGGTTCAGGGCCAGTGCCTTGGGCCTAGCTTTTAAGGGCTCCAGTCCAAACTATGAAGTTGATGCATTATTCAGACCTTTCGACTCCATACTTTGTCTCTGACCATGGATAGTATCTTTCTGACCTTTTGATTCTTTGATGGATCCCCCATTTGTTTGGCATAAGAATTAATTTATTCCCAAAGCTGCTTAAATTAGAAATCAGGAGATATTTAGAGAGTGTCTTTTGTGGATTAGAACAAAAATACTTAGGCAGGCCCTCTGATCCTTTTCCTTTTATACCAAGGTCTACTTGGCCTTTGTAGGGCAAATGGGTACAAAACTTGTCTCCTTGGCCATGTGTAAGAAATGAAATATTGGCTTACCTAGAAAGTTCTTCAGACAACTGGCTAAAAACCCCAGATAAACATAGCATCTCTAGGGTTTCCCAGATTTGGGCAGGGTGACCTGTATCCTCCCTTCCTGGGTGCACACACAAGTCTTCGTAAAGATATAGCCACAAGCAAAGCCAGTTTTCCATGAAAACAACCCAGCCTCTCACAGACTGTGCCACTGTGCAACAACAGGTTATCAGAGAGCCTCTCTAAAGAAGCCAGCCCTTGCTGTGCTATTGTTCTACCATTTACAGTGTTTCCTTGAATCATTTCAGTCACATAAATTTAATCCTTAGATAAGGAAACGTTATTTTATGGCTAGAGTTTCCCTCTTCCATCCCTGGCACATCACAAGATCCTCATTCTAGAAGTCACAAGGTTAGCAAGGATAAGAGAAGATAATGGTCATATTCTGTGCCCTCCTTAACACAAGCAAAAATAAACTTCATGAGGGTTGATGTTTTGCAAGACAATACTTCTATTACTGTGCAAATGTATGTACTTGTACTTTATGCTGTGCTAATGAACTCAACTGATGAGAAGTTTCACAAAGATACCCTTATATAATCAAAACAAATCCAATTTCCTGAAAGAGTAAATAGTTATTACTGAGCTCATTGCTTAATCTTTCTTTTTGTGTGTCTTATAACAATGGAATTCTTCCATTTGAAATACTTCAATTCTTTAAACAAAAATGGAAGGACTGTGATTTCGTATGTTTTAGGTTGGCAATAATGCCTTCAGTGTGATAGCTTTTTGCATTTTGCAATTTGCTGCCTTCCACAATTCAAATTTCATGGTTTCATTTTCAGAAAAAAAGATATTTTTAATTGATCACTCATGCTTCTCTAGCCATATGCCTACCACAAAGGCATGCACATTTTCATACAAAATTCACTGTTTCCATTTGGCAACTGAGTACCTTTAACTGTGTGAATCAACAGTGTAAAACATCACATAATCCATTGAGAATACACTAATAGAAATATATGCCTTCTAAACCCTGGTATACAAAACATACTGCTTAAAGACAGCTTAATTATTCCCATAATCCTGTTCTCCCAATGCAATGTCTTCTAGAACACTAAGAATCAGTGAATTCAAATCCTGAACACTTCTATACTTCTCACGTTTTTAAATGGGTAAATTATACCCCTGGATCTTAACTGACAAGATTCAGAGTCATGACCAGAAATAATAAATGAAACGGTAGAGACCTATATTGCCAAATATTCATTAAAACAAAGCTCATCTATAGAACAACTACAATGCTTCCTGCCTTTCATATTTCTCAAGCATAAATTTCCAAGAAAAAGATTTCATGTTTTTAACCTGCCGCATGGGTAATAGTTATCACATCCATAGACTTTGATGTTGCACATCAGTCCCCGTAAACATGTCCATGGTTATCAACTTACTGGCATACACTGCATTTCACTACTCTAACTGGTATGTCACTATTCCTCTGGCCCATGGATAGATAAAGCAATGAAATGATATTCAAGTTGGTTTCACAGTATGCATGCGTTATGAATTTGAAACACATTTCTGACACATACTATGCTCCTTGTGCATATATTTTAGAAGGACTTACTCTAAGAACTTCCTTTTATGACTCAAACCATAATCTGGAACCATTCACAGTCCTTGGTTTTAGAATTCTATGTGGTTTCATTTTCATTTTAAAGACAGCCCAAACTTCTAGCTGCTGAATCAAACCATTTAGGGAAAAGACATATTTCAGTTGGAAAACCAGCCAAAGTCCACTAATCCCTTCTGTGATTTTTACAGAGAACAGAAGTAACAATGTAAACAGTCAAGATTCAACTAATTTGAGAAGCAAGGATATGTAAAATTGCCGACATTTCAACTTCAATCCTTGTTTTCCCCATTTAGGGTACTAAGTCCTTGACTGTTTAACTGGCTTCTCCAAAGTAGCATGGAACCAGGCTCCACATCTGATGTGCTGACGTCTCATCAAGCTACACTAGTACTCTCTCTCTCGAGCATGCCGTGAGGGCTCAGCCCCAGTTCTGGTTTCAGCTGTACCAACAAGTCAGAGACATCTCCAGTGAGTAAAGGACAAGACAGCTCATAAAGATCAACCTGTGAGGACTGCCCAACTTGCATGTTCCCACAACCATACCTGGGTAGGCACAGAACTCAAATGTACATAAATCACATTTAGAATCAACACTGTATCACTGCATGATTTGCCCACATTCAAACCTCCAGATCAGCACACACTGATTGCATTAAGATTCAACTTATTACAACTGCTAAACTCACCGACTCGTATAAAACATGTAACTATATGATGGGAGCATGTACACTGAACATGCCTTGGACCAACATAATAAATCCCAATCATTTTGAAAACTTTGAATGTTCATGGCTGAATATAGCTAATCCAGCTACATTAATTCCATCATTTGAGACAATTAATGTACATCCAGCTGTTGGGAGCCTAGAGTAGAATTACAATCAAAGTTCTCCTATATCCACCAATTTAGAAATCCATGTAGATATAGATGTTGTATAGCTCACATACGCGACCCAATTCACAGTGAGTGCCTACACAGCTGCTAGGAAGAAAGAGAGCAGGCAACGATCACCCTCATCCTTGGGAATAATGGACTTTGTCCCTCCTCTCTTATCCCAAGGAAATAGGTATGAAAGAAGAGGGAGTGGGTAATGAATGAATATGAAGGCTTAGTTGAGACAGATTATTTTATGCTGGATAATCTCTTGCTACACTGAATCACTCTAATAAGTTAACTTGAAAAGGCTTACCTTTGGTTGGTTTCCAGGGGAATGAATGTAGCACAGGTCAATGCAGGTTTTAGACTTCTGCAGCATCATCTGCACTAATTCAGGATTTGTCTAGGCTTGGGAATATCATTCTACATTCTAAAACCTCTCGCTCTATACATTCAATCTGGTTTCAATATTTACAAAAAGAAACATGTTTTTGAAATGTGCAGTGTGGTGTTCATTTTCACTTACCTTTTCTGCTGATTGAGCAGTGCCAAAAAAAATTGGAATGAAGGCAAGCCAAACTATACATGTCGTGTACATGGTGAATCCGATGGGCTTGGCTTCATTAAAGTTCTCTGGGACACCCCGAGTCTTGATGGCATACACAGTGCATGTGACCATAAGAAGGATGCTATATCCCAAGGAGCAGATGATCTGTAGGTCCGTAATGTCACACTTGAGAACCCCCCGGGCCTGTTCAGGGTTCATCGTCTTATGTTCATCATAGTCTATGATGATGTTAGGTGGGTCAACACCAAACCAAATGAAAACGCCAAGAAGCTGAACTGATATTAAACTGGAAGTGATCGCCAGCTGTGATGTTGGGCTTATGAGTCTGGGGGCTGTCACTGATTTCTTGCCCTGTTCAAATATGCGGTAAATCCGATTGGTTTTGGTCAAGAGGGCTGCGTAACTGATGCACATACCCAGGCCCAAGAAAACTCTCCGGAAAGAACACACTGCCACGTCGGGTTTGGCTATCATCAGGAAGGTGATGATATAGCAGAGAAAGATGCCCGTCAACAGAACGTAGCTCAGTTCCCGCCCAGACGCCCGAACGATGGGAGTGTCGTTGTAGCGGATGAAAGTGGCCATGACGAATATGGTGGCGATGATCCCCAACATGGCAAGAAAGACGGGGATGACAGCCCAAGGCGAGTGCCACTCCAGTTTGATGATGGGGATATCCTGGCAGCCAGTTCGGTTTTCATTGGGTCGCTGGTCGTAGGGGCAATGCTGGCATGTCATCTCATCAAACTGGTACTGGTAGCCGTCACAGGGCTCACAGGTCCAGCAGCAAGGGGTCCCCTTCTGTGTCTTCTTTCTTTGCCCAGGCTTGCAGGGCATGGTACACACAGAGGCAGGGATGTCCCGGACTCCTTTACCCCACTGCATGTCCTCTATCTGCAGCAGGAAATAAGGAGGTGAAGCAGGCAGGTTAGTTAAGAGGAAAACACAAACAGTAATTACAGCAACATGTGAGACTTGACGAGGTAAACTAACCAACCCCAGCTGGTAGAAGCTACAACCAAGATTCAACCCACACCATTCACTGTAGCATCCTCATTCCTCACTACTGTAGGGTGTGCCAAACATGCCTGATTATAAGAATCCCGGTGGTAGCTTTCAGTAGTACTAATTTTCTATTCCCACCTAGAGCCCCAAAATAAGAATATCCTGAAAAGGAGCCTTTGGAGCTTTATTTTCAACAAACACTCAGAAAATTCTTAAAATTAAAGTCAGTGATTACTGACACGCTCTCTACTGCCGTCTCCTGGAGAATAAGTGCAAATGTCCCAAGTTAAGTTAAAAATCTTTAATATGAAATGCTACATTCATTTCCCTTATTAGACACTTTTTAAAAAAGTGTTTTTTAAGTTATTTTGGATGATAAGTCAGAGCTGGCCACTTTTTCTAAAATTCTGTAAGCATCACTGCCATTTCATTGAGAATTTTCAAACTGAATGAACCTATTCTATTTCTCACAGAGGAGTGATAAGGTTCATTATCGAAAGTTTTAATTGTAGCTCTGGAAGCATTTGATAAGAAAATAATACAGTATGGAAACCTCTCAAGATTAGCCATGTACCCACTGAAGATGAAATTTAAACTAAAACACTATATCCTAGAGGAGGATGAAAGTATGCTTATTAATTAGAATACTGACTTTCTGGAGGGGAATTCATAATTAACAGTCTTCTGAGAAGTAACCGCATTAGATACAAATAAGAGCTTTATTGCTGGGATGAAATTTCATCTTTTCCAGCACAGCATCTATTATTTTTATTTTCCTGATATCAGTCCTCTGAATTTCACCCCCCACCATGTGCTTCCTGTGAAATATTGGGAGTCCTTTGACAATTACTTGGAGGGGTTTTTACAACCGAGTATGCTGAGCCCCACTCTCGGATTTTTTCTGATTTACTGGGACCAGGAGGGGACCCGAGAGTATATATTTATAATGAAATCTCAGATGGTGTAGCTAGAGATTCTCTAGCCATCACACCTTGTAAACACTGACATATTTCAACCTCCCAGTCACAGAGACTGAATCGGGAATGGGGTCATTATGGCATGACACGGAATTTAACTTTCTGACTTTTATAGAGATTACATAGGATAAAAAGCTTTGTTTTTGCTGGACTTGCAGTTTCCAGGATATAAAGATGTGGTGTGCATGGCTATATGAAGAAAGGCATTTGCCAGAGAAGAAGCCAATATAAAGGAAAGCAGAGCAAAGAGTTAATGAGAAAGATAACCCATGAGCCTGCTTAAGCTCCTGGATATAGCTGTGCCTGAAGCAGGTTTTTCCTACATTGTGTCATTATGTGAGCCAGGAAATTATGCTATGCTGAAATACTTTGAATTGCATTTCTATTACTTATCACCAAAGGTCCTGACTCTGGGAGTTGGTGATGGACAGGGAAGTCTGGTGTGCTGCAGTCCACGGGGTCACAAAGAGCTGGATGTGACTGAACTGAACTGAAGGGTCCTGAAGAATATACCAACTAAATAAAGAACTTCAGTATCTGTAATCTGCAAAGTGATTCACTTAAAAGAGAAAAATGCAGAATAAATTCCAATGAAAAAGTTTGGCTGATAATCCCCATATCTAGTTAATTAAATTCTTATGATATTTGAGCTAAAATATAGACTAGAAAGATACTGGAAAGTCTGAGACTTTTTTTTTTTAAATGCCTACTTTTAAGAGATAAGGGGGGGTACTAATTTATTGCACAGTGAAATTCCATTGCTGTGTTAAAACAGGATGCAGTGTATTGCAGGGTGTGATACTTCCATCAAAACTTGAATGAGAACTACATTTAACATCCAAATCAAATGTAGTTAACTCTGGAAGAAAGAATGGTTCAAAGATTAAACTTTATAAAACATAACCTTCTAGTGGTTGAATTTAAACTTTAATCAGAGACCTAAGAATCTTCGGATGACTCCTATGAACTCATTTGCATGAGCACAAAGCCCAAGTCAGCACTAATAAATCTAACTAAATTTAAAACATAATCATTTCTTTCTCAGCATCATCATTTTTGAGACAGTAAGTCACTGGCAGCTATCCCAAAGTCATAAAATTAAGGAAATAATTTGTAATAAAAGAGAAAAAGACATGCATTAACTTTACAAATGTCCAATATCAAGAAGTGGGAGCCTAAAAAATTTGCTATTATTAATACAAATGTTTCCAAATGTCAAAGTAAAAGGCCCTACTCATGATCAGCAAGAAAGATTAACAACAAAAAAAACAACCTTACAAATAAATTTCATTAGCTAAGCTTGAGATTGCCTGATTCCAACATGAGTGGAAACTGAAATGTCATATGATTAAACTTGATCTATGGAACAGATGTAGGGCTCAAATATAAAAACAAATTATCATTATATGTAATATTTTAAAGCCAATTTCAAATGTTGCCAGCTTGCAACCCCCTCCTCCTCCTTTCAAACAAAATGGTCAGCAAAGTTGAACAGATTTTATTCCCTCAGACTTAACCAAATATATACAAAAGCGATAACCACAAACATTACATTGACTGATTACTTAATTTGTTTTCAATTTTCATTTAAAGTAGATCTCCACTCAATTTAATTGTATATACTAAAGCAATAAAGTTGCCTCTTGCTCCAAATGAACAAAAGTCTAATTTACTTGCTTTGACAACAAGAATCATTATTGAAAATATAATCTATGTTCCATAAATGGGCCGACTAACCTTTAACAGCTCCAGTTAGTGAGAATTTTGTTAAAGTGATACACATGATTTGTCTATATCTCTACCTATCCACACAAATTCAGAGCCTTGTTTAATAAGAAGAAACAGTTAGCTGCAAATGCCCATGGGCACCTATTTAAAATTTAGGGCTATGGATTTGTTGTTGTTAAGTTACTCAGTCATGTCCAACTCTTTGCAACCCCATGGACTACAGCACACCAGGCTTCCCTGTCCTTCACTATTTCCTGGAGTTTGTTCGAATTGATCTCCATTGAGCTGGTGATGCCATCCAACCATCTCATCCTCTGTCAAATACTCAACTATAATGTCAATTGACTTTGTCAAAAGGCTAGAAAGAATGCAAATTTGAAGTTTGTTCTGAACTCTGCAACAAAACTGTGTTTCAGTTAGCCAGAAAGCAAAATAAAATTGCAGAAAGATGTGAAAAAAAAAAAGAAAGAAAATAGAAATCTCAAAGAGTGTCAGGTGACCAAAAAGGAGGGATTCCAAGCCCTGTGCCCACAGATGAACTCAACAGGAGGAAGACTTCTCTTCCCTGGCAAGGATTCAGCCAATGAAGAGCCACGGACCCTTTGCCCTCCAACTTCCTTTTCCCCACTATAAAAATATTCTCCTTCCCTTGCTGTGAGGGGTCTTGCATGTGGCTTGCCATAGTTTCAGATTCCAAATTATAATTCCCTTGTTCAAATAAACCCATCTTTGCTGGAACAATGTATGTCAGTTTATTTATTTCAGGTTGACAAAGACTAGGAAAAAGGTTAGGATGGTCACCATCATCTTCTGTAGAAGACACAGTTCTAAATTCCCTGATAAGGATGCATCTTCTTCCTGGGCACCCAAAGTTTATGGTTAGTGGAGACTGGATCAGCTCAGTAGCTGGCTCATGGAGAAGGGATGTTGAGATCTCAGCTCTTGGCAAGAGAATAGAACTGTGGAGCTAGTCCCACTAATTAACACCATGCGTGGCACATAGATTCTTATAAGTAAGCGAATCAAAAGCTTAATAAAGAGAAAATTAGGCAATTCTGGCCAATGAAAGCAAAAATGAGTCTTTTGTGGTGTCCAAGCAAAGTTTTCTTCACTCTATAAGGAAGAGACACGAAGAACTGACATGCTATCATCAGTCTTTGATGTGTGCTTTTGTGATATATGGAGCTGAAGCAGCCGTTTTGCCACCACAAAGGAACAAATGGAAAGAACAAAGCTAACATGCTGAAGATAGTAAAAGAAAACCAAAATGGAATTTGTATCTTTGATGGAGTTGAAATAACTTTCTAGCGTCAACATGGAGCCACTCCTCTACGGGGTATCATGTTAGTAAGCCAACACTTATATAGCTTTCACATTCCTATAAACAAGCTTCATTCAGTCAGAAATACAGTATGTCCACTTAGCCATTAGCCGATCTTCAAAGGCTAAGTGAATTCAAGAGATTCTCACTCCAAAGAGACTATGTGGGCTGATCAGATAATTTTTATATGTCTTTTCCTTGTTCTTTATTTTTTATCCCATACGAGCTTTCTGCTTTCCACCCCATTTTTCAGTTCTCTGAAAGAAGACTGTCCACAAAGTGTTAAGTAAAGTGTGCTGGTACCACCTAAATTATCTTTAATCGTTTTTTTAACAGTGGCATCATGATGTCAACCAAATGAAACCAATACTGGTACCACCCAACCCTGAAACATGAAATGATAAACTTCCCTTGGTTAACCAATACCTCATGGGTACCCCACTCCTTGCAGTCAAACATTCTAACGAATACACTCTTTCTTATTTCTGCATCTGGTATGTGAAGGCTTGAGACTAGTTAGCCAATAATTCAAGCTCTTGCATGAGTAGTAGAGAGTTCCAGAGGAAAAGCAAACTTGTGAATTACACGTAATCAGAAACACTTGGCTTTGTCTCCTGAAAACACTCAGAAGAGAGGGTGGGGAAGACCTGAACTCAGAAAATCAGCTGTGACCACACTGCTTCTGGTTCACACAGAGACAATGAAAAAGCACCTGTCAACTGAAGTTTCTTAGCACGTGTGCTGGCAAAGAAAAAAAGGGTCTGGCTCTATACTCCACAGGAGGTGCAGAAACCTTATAATCACTGGAATTTTAAAATAAAACCCAATGAGTTTCTGTCTTACTGCCAAACGCAGAAATCAAA